TTAAACGTCTACAAAACCAGAAATTATGGATGTTATTTATATAAAGATATTTGGGCTTTTCACACTTTAAACCCCCAAAAGATTTCAATAATCCTATTCTGCACTCTCAGAGATAAAATTTTTTAGAGTGCAAAAGTGCAATTCGTCCAAGATATTTTGTTTGTCGGCTTATGATTGAACAAAAATTGAGACACAAATCTGCACGTTTTAAGCTTGACACTTACGATCGAACAAAATTGAGGATTAATTGACAAGTGTGGGATGAATAAGATTTTTTTGAATTTAAAATTTGAATTGTAGTCAAGATTTGTGATTTGGACGATTCCAATTACCCGAAAAAAGAAGAAGAAGAAGATATTCTACTCTCATTACAGCTTGTACATCAATATATTTATTCCTATTAAATAAGTCAATAATTTTTGTCGACCACCCCATTCATTGTCAGATTTTTTTTATGTCGGATGCTTTTAAATAGCATTCTATATAGTTGAGTTTTAGAGCATATCCAACAATAGTAGCTATTTTAGCTACCAAAAAAATAACTTTTTCTATTTTAACTACTTATTTTTTCAATACACACTTCAACAGATTCTCTATATTTTTAACTACTCATTTTAAATATTATTTATCATCCTTTTTGTATTATATTTTTTGAAAATAGTGAAAAGGAGAAAGAGAGATAATGGAAGCAATGAGAGGAAGAGAGAGAAAATAATATATATTATGTTTACATATTGTTACAGTGATGCTCTATATTTAGAGCATCGCTGTAACAACAATCTATTTTATAGCATATGAGCATATCTGTTGGAGTGTTGTTTTTGGCTTTGGTTAGCTAAAATTTGCTTATTTTGGAGATTTGAAACATCTGTTGAAGATGCTCTTAGGAGATCTCAAAGAAGTCTCTTTATTTTGATTTAATAAATTCTTATTGAATTCTCGTTTTTGTTTGTCATAACTACATCTTATATATTATATCTTGGATCCAATTTATCTAATATTATTATTATCTACCTTTGCACTTGCAAATAGGAATCGCACGAGCGGGGGAGTATCACAATTTTCTTCGCATCGAAATGAACATAATAACAGTCAAATTAATTCTTAGCCGTGTGCCGGGTATAAGAGACAAAGAAACTAATTTCAAGGTTACAACTAAGACGTACTAGATTATTATTGTATTTCCCTTACCTTACAATATGAAGGAGCTCAAAACCCAACTAATTGTTGAGTAATTTATGCTTGTGAACCACTTAATTGCTTCGTCTCGTGTTCCACCCACGTCACTTAGGACACAAACTTTCACTCACCCCAAGTCTTAATAAGCAATTATCATCCTCTCTACTAAACAATTATTAGCATTGAACCATTTGCATAATGCATGTCAGCATCCATGCAAAGCCAAACATAATCACATACATAATCTGTATAATTTGGAGTTTAATGAAGACACCCAAAGCTTTGGAAACTCAACCCAATTAAATTAAACCCTAAAATGCACTGTTGTCCAAGCTTAGTTTGAAAGTGTCCCCAGCTGGGATTGTTGTACTGTTAAAAATGGCCTCGTTGTACTGAACAAGAAGGTCCGGGTTGCACGTGAACCTCCCGTGATTGATACGGATGTTGCCCGTGGTGTACTCGACACGATCAAATTTATATGTATATATATTACTTATCTCTAATATTTGAATCATGTACTATACCAGTTACTCCATCACTGTACTTGGTCTTGGTGCTTGTTGCTAAGAAGCTACCTCGAGCCGGGCCAGGGATCCAATTAGTGGTCCAGGGAGGACAAGCGAGCCATTGACTGGTTAATGGCTGATCCGAGCTAGGCCCATGGCTTACCCATAGGGCCAAAGAGTTGACAACAGCTCACCCGACAGGCCACCTTCTTGGGTCTTAATCACGGCTCATAGTCATAACCCGACTGGTACAACTACCTCTGTCTTTCATATGGAGGATGAATCTTGTCTATGGCCTACTGGACCACCGGACTGATGGACCGTGGGCTGTGGGCCACGAGCCATTATGGACCTCTACTTTTCCATCAATCTTTTTCATAGGTGCAGTCCCCATTAGCAAGCATGGACTGGTTTTTAACGGCTTTTCAATGTGGAAACATCGGTGGATTGAATGATGATTAGCATAAGGTTGTATCCTTATTGCTTGTCGATTTTTATAGGAAAAGGTAGGATTTGTGTTCAACTCAACAATATATACTTACACATTGGAATATAGATAGCATGTTAGTTTGAGACACCTAATCGCAAGTGATGCATCCCAAGAAGAAGACGGAGTTTGTCCCAAAGAAGTTGGAACCTTGGTGTGGGCAACGGCTTCATGAGAATATTACTTTTGGTGAACATGTTGTCTGTGGGAAAACTAATACACAACATTAGGAGCAAAAAAAATGGCACAACTACTCGTGAATTTACAGTCATCAAGACAATCGGCCGAATCAGTTTCTGAGTGGGCAAAGACAGAAAAGGACGAATGTCATTGAATTGGAAGACACATATCAATAGTGGCCTTAAAGATCTCGAAGAATGCGTTTAACAGCAATCCAACGCAATTGAGTGGATGAGGATTTGATTATTTATTGTCGGGTCTTATGCTTTGGTATGATAAAAATATGGAAGGATGAAAAATTAGAAGGATAAATAAAAAATATTGTGTTTGGTAAAAAAGGAAAATAAGAAAAATGAAAAAGTGGATGAATTAACTTTTCTTCTAATTTACCAAAATCAATCTCTCTAAAATCGGAAGGAAAATAGATGAAAAATTAATTATTTATTTTGAGATATATCTTATTTGTCTATATATTGTATATGCATTAATTTTATATAAAAATATTATATATATATATAAATAAAAATAAAAATTTAAATTAAAAAAATAATTTTTTTTCATCTTAACTAGGGGTGAAAATTTTCGACTTAACACGATAACACGACTCGAACTTGACACAAATTTTATGACACGAACTTGAAAATGACCTGACATGCGAACAAGAAATATAAAAAACTCATAATTTTATGAATCAACACGAATCTGACACAACACGATTCAATTGTCACCTCTAATTTTAGCCAGTTCAAAAATTTTTTTTAAAAAAATTAGTCATTTTTATTTTTCATCTATCCAACAAAATACAATAAAAGAAATTGTATCATTCCTACATTCTATCCTTGAAGGATAAAAAGTGTATCATTCCTACTTTCCATCCATCCTACCAAACGGAACATTAGTAGTGGCATAATGATTCTCATTTACTTTCCTATTAAGAACAAGTTATATTTTTTAGGAAAATTTGGAGGTCAGTCCTCTTATATGAATTTAAATCTACTTAGAAAATTTATTTGTTATGAAATCTGTTTATTGTCAATTTTACCAGACTATCACTTTCCTTTAAAAGTGAAATAAAATTGAAAATTAAAAACTCCTAACTTTAAGAATTTGATTAATATTAAAAAATTTTCTCTCTCATATCTATCTATATGGTCAGGACTATATATATATATATATATTAACATTAAAATAAAAAATTAAAACATTCAAATACAAAAAAAAGTATCATTTAAACAAAAAAAATAATGTCATTTAAATATAAAAAAAATAGAAACATTTAGACATAAAAAAATAGTAACATTCAATATTAATATTTAAAAAAAATAACAATAGTAACATGTTCAACAAAAATAATAACACACTTAACAAAAACAATAATATGCTCAAAAAAAAAATAGAAATATGGAACATCGAACAAAATTAAAAATAAAAAAAGTAGCATTCAAACCTATAACCAAAAGAAGAAGCCTTCAATTCTTTAGTATCCAAAAAAGTAACACTAAAAAAGTAATAACATGCTTAATAAGTAATAGTAACATGAAAAAATAATAGTGATATGTGTTAGTAAATTATGTTTTGAAATTGATGTTATTGAACTAACGTTACTATGTTAACATTAAGTTAGGGGTGCAATTCGGGCAGGTTGATAGGTCAATTCTAACCCAATTCTAGGTATATAATCGTCAACCCTAACCATACCTCAACTCTAGTACTGTCCGAGTTTAATTCGGGCGAACTCGGGTTACTTAATTCGAGTTGATTTTTTGAATTGTAAATTTAATTTTTTCAAGTGTAAATCTAATTTTTTTTTAAGTGAACTGAGATGATAGGTGATGCGCAAATGAAGAGAGAGGGAGAGTGACGAGTGAGAGAGGGATCTCAGAATGATGGAGGCTTAGGGGTGAAGACTTGAAGTGAAGTGAAAGTTTAAATTTTAAAGAGTAAAGATAAATACCAACTCGAGTTAAATATATTTATATATTTTATGTATATTCGGGTTCCACCCGATTTAATAATCGAGTTTAACCCGATTTTAATATTCGGACTGAGGCCTCAACCTAAGGCTTGCCCAAATTCAATTCAGGTTGGGATTTTTTTTGCCTGTGCTCAACTCAAATATTAAAAATTCTAATCTAAATCTTATTTTTTTCTGGTTAAACTCGGGTTGAATTCGAGTTGGTCCGCTCAAGTTGCACCCCTACATTAAGTACTTGGCATGCACTATCCATGTTAGTTTTTCAAAATCTCAAGCGTACTTCATCTTTAATTTTCATCCCTTTCAAATTAGTCACAAATTTTAAAAATCGATTATTTAAATATATAACAGACAAAATAATGACTAAAAATTTAAATTTAAAGTATTATGCAAAGCTTGTAACTGACAATTATAATCGTAAATCAAGCATTTATATATTCAATCATTAGCCTCCATATATAGCTCATTGTAGACAATATTTTTAATTTTTTATAATTGACTAAATTAACACTGTTAAGGATATTTTTTAGATTAAAAAAAAAAGTGGACTTAACTCTTTACTAATAAATTTAAAATTTGATTTATCCACAAATAAATTTACTTGACGGACACAATCCATTATAAATTTATTTAGGAGGATTGAGTATCAATTTTCACTATTTTCTATCGTACCTCAAAAATTAAAGCAGAAGGTTGGATATTCATCTGCAAATTCCTCATGGGCTTCTTGAATGGGCCCATCTGGAATCTCATAAACATACCTGAGTCCAACAAAGTTTATTCTCAGGTTAGAAATGTATCTTAATGTGCTTGGTGACTTGGTCTCGTAAATCACGGCTCCTCTCTGGCATGAGTCGCATGACTCTTGCTATATGACTACACGGGCAGCTTCCTTCAACACTCAACACTTGATGATATCTCAGACGACGCAGTTTGACTCGAAGTCGTCTCTAACGAATCTTGTGAGACTTATGGTTTATATAAAATGTGAAATAATATTAGAACAAAAAGGGTCGAGTGGAATTCAACTTAACTGAGTTGTCGCAATTTCCACCTAATACTTTCGATTATATGTTTTATTCTTATATATCTATAAATAGGAGTAGTCCGTACCTGAAAATATATTACAATGTGAATGATTTTGATAAAAATATTCGTGATTATTAAGTGTTGCACCATATTTTTAGACATATATTACTCTAGGTATGAATGATTATGACTAACGAAGACAGAACAACTAACCACCAAAACACACACCGAAGAAAAAATAAAGAACAACAAAGTAGGTAAAAAAAGTGACAATGAAAGTGGACCCAACACATTGACAGATTACTCTAGTTATGATTATTCACGTTCAACCATTTCCAAAATCATCACCACTTTACAATGAACCACCATCTACCTTACCAACACCACCGCTGCCGCCGCCGCACCGCGGCCGCCACCCACTATCACAATGAACTTTACCCGACAGTAACTATTTGTCCTGACCCTCCCAGACAAAATTTCAAAAATCCACATACTACCCTTTACCCACTCCACCACTACACAACATCAACGCCTTTACATTATTGTCCTTTTGTGTATTTTCATCCCCATTACACCCTCTTTTCAATTATTCATCACCTTCCTCGTGGGCTCTGATCCTATGCATCAGCTGTCCACAAACAACGGCTCATGCCGGAAAAGATCGTACGGCGACCAAAGACTATCCAACGGACACGGCCTTTTCGAGTCCAATCTCAGCCACGGCTTTCCCTTCCCACTCCAATGCAACAAGCTCACCGGACCAGGGTGAAGATCTCTACACAACCCTTCAAGATTATCCCCACCAAGCCCATGTTGGTTCCACCTATGCTCAATACCTTCAACGTTCCCAGCAAAAACAAGCAAAAATGGTGGCAAAGAACCCAGTTCATAGATTCTATACCTTTTCCGAATCCTCATCCATTGTTCGAGCTTCTCTGTGTATCCACAGCGTCTCCATTTTGTCAAGTCTATTACCATCACACCCGTGTTGAAATAACAAGTCTTTCGCCCTTCAAAAGTCTTGGAAAAGAGAGAGATTGACCAGAATTGAGGAGTGAAGTAGTGGCTGAAATTTGCGTGACAGTACTCTGGAGCGCCGAGGACGTGGTTGTTGAGATTGATGGTCCAGAGTTTAGCAATGTCATCGACGACTATGAGGTCGGAGTCGAAGTAGATAATGCGATTGACGGTAGTAGGTACGAGGTCGGCTAGGTAGATTCGAGCGTAGTTGAGTGGTTCGTCGAGGGCTCGGCGGATGGAGGAGGAGATTTTGCCTTTGACGAGGTTGGTGTCGAAGTGGTGAAGATGGAAATTGAGGTATGGGAAGGTGGTGAGGATGGTGCGGTGTAGGTGACGGCGGTGGTGGGTGGCGAGGAAATGGAAAAAGGTGTTTTCGGGGCAGGTGGCGTGTTGGAGGACCGAGAAGACGCCGGCAATGGACCCGCGGAGGTAGGTGATGTCGAGGGTCATGGCTATGTGAATGGTTGATGGGTCGTTTGATTGTGTTGGCCATGTGGGTTTAGGACATTCCTCGCCGTTTCGGAACGCCGGAGCTTCTCTGAATTGGGGGAGGCCTGCGGTGGCTGAAGCGGCTAGGTAATATATGGTGAGGAGGAGGAGGAGAGTGGTGGTAATGACGGTGGTTAGGTGGTGGTGGTGGAGGGTCATTGGCATGGTGGTGGATTTATTTATGTGGGTGCAATGTGGAGAAAATGAGATAAAGACTGAGAAGTAGAAGACAGGAAGCCAAGAAGAGGAGGTGAAAACGGAATTAAAAAGAAATGAGGAGGTAAGTCAAGGAATAAATTTGCCCCCCAAAAAAAATTATTGAATAAATTTTCAGATTTAATTTTTGCTTAAAAATACTTTATAGCACTGACTATCCATTAAAGGAAATAGTTTAAACTAATTTCATATATAGTTCAAGTATTAACAAGAACGAGTTATACATTTACATGTTTGGAGTTTGAAACTTAATAATTTTTTGGCCTCAGGCTACAAGGAATTATGAGGGATTTATTATTCCTCATAAATACTCTAGTCTCGATGGATGACTATCTTTGATCCGATCGTGGAGGAAACTAGTTAAGGCGTATGCAAGTTGAATATCTTAGTTCAAGTGGATGACTTACTTTTGCCCGAGTTAAAGAGAAAATTAGTTGAAATGTACGCAAGTTGACTTAGACTCTCCGATTGTTCAATCAAAAAAATATATTTACCAAACAAAGTTGAATAAAAATAGAATAAAAATGTGCAAATTTTAGATATTTTTTTTATTACCAGAATGGATATACACAGTTGTTTTGTATTGACATTAATTAAAATTTCATTCCGAAACAGTTGAAATATTTTTGTTTTAAAGAAGATCGAAATTGTTTAGTGATTATATCGAAATTTAACTATTTCAAAGTATTTCAGTATGTTTCATTATTTTTTTATTATTGTTTCAAAATATTACGATATTTTTGTACTAATATTCCAAAATATTTTAAAAATTACTTTTAAAAAAAAATCTGAATTTTATTTTATTTTCGATATATTTTCAAAAATTTATAGAGGCGAACTAAAAAATGTATGAAAATGAAATTTTGGTGTTGGTTGTATATAAGGGCGTGGGACCTACGAGATTGTTTGAATGAGGTGACTGACAGCGATCGGAGATTGAATAAAATGGGAAGTAATGTTACATGTATTTAAAATTTAGATTTTAAAAACAAATTTAATAATTATAATTATTAATTTTATTGTTGATTTTAGTATTTGTTGAAACTCATTAATTATTTAATTATTAAATTTATGTAACATTAGTCTAAAATGAGAGGATGACAGGCTGGAAAGCCGCGTCTGTTAAAGTGATAATATTCCACGAAGTAGGCGCAAATCTTGTGCCGATAGTTCCACGGACAGGTTTTGTGTTGCCGTACAAACGATGCCATATTTACTTGCATCTGTGAATCCTACGGTCTAGGCTGATGCGGATACAAAACTCGTGAAACTATGACTTAACATTTTTCGTGAATTATGATAATATTTTAAAATTAATCATATTCTATAATCCTAAAGTTTATAAATTACCTTTAAAAAAAATTAATCATAAATTACACCTTAAAATATCTCTCAAATCTTAATTTATATTCTCAAAGATAAAAAATTTTAATTTATACCCTCAAAATATATATATCTGTATAAATATGTACCTGAAACTAACAGTAGTCTAGTTTGCCGTCTAAAATTAAAAAGATAAATTAAACTTAAAACCCTCATATTTATCACTTAATCAATTGCACCCCTCACATTTAAAATATGACACTTACACTTTTGAGAATTCAAATATGACTAAAAATGTTCTCACAATTGAGTATCTAAAATAATTATGTTCAAGTGATGTATTACACTGGATATAAAAAACATTATATAATGTCAATACTCTTGACTATTATGTAATACATGTATTGTATTGGACATTCAAATGATAAATTTGATTTTAAACTTTAGAATACAACGGGTCCACAAAATAAAAGATATTATGAAAATTATAATTATTTATTAAAATGATATCATTTTTTTTAACGGTTATATTAATAGATATTAATGACAGGGGATATGTGTTACGTGCGCACAAAAATTATGATAGATAAGTGTAATATTCTAAATATAAGCGGGGGTGCAGTGATTCAGTGACAAATCTGAGGGGTTTGCGTATAATTTATCTATTTAACTTTAAACAGTAAACTGACGATTGTTAGTTTTAAATAAGGGTGTCAACTCTGACCCGTTGACATAAATCCGACACGAACGATTATAAATTGACACGATTATTAAATATACATAATAAGTAGTTTAGATTAATGTTTAATACTCAGAACATATTAATTTCTTTTTTTCGTGGGTCTTGACTTGAACACAATACCAATAACAATGACACGAATAATATGACTTGTGGGTTACACGAATACGACACGATACCAATATTAAAATATATATTAATATGAATTTATATCTTTTAGGATATAAATTAAAATTTTTAATATTTAAAAGTATAAATTAAGATTCAAGATATGTTTCGGGGTCTAATTTGATATTAACCTTTCAAAATATTATAACTTTTGGGACGGTCAGTCTTCCTCCTTGATTGGTTGATTAGTTTTAGGCGCGTGAATGAGTAGTAGGATTAGTGGGTGGTAGCCATGGTAAATGAATGGTGGGATTGAGAGGGACAGACTGCAGATAAAGTGAGGTTTTTATTTATTTTTTACCAAATCTCAATACAATTTTGGGTTTCTATGTTGAAAGTTGATAAATGGTTAAATTAATTTTTGATCTACAAATCACTGAGTTTTAGGAGTTGATTAAGGCCCAAAGTAAAACAGAAAATATGAAGGGAAATACTATATAATCCAAATTTGTATTCCAAATAAACGGGAATCATTGGATGAGTGGGTCATATATACTTTTTTAAATAAGATTCACTGATCCAACGGTGCTTATTGATTTAGAATGTAAATTTTGGTTACATAACATTACTCAAATATGAATAAGATCAAGATTTCTTAAAAAAAATCATTCTAAAGTGATGTGACACCGTTTTTTCTATTAAATATTTGAGTTTCATTAATATTCAATGATAAAAACTATATCACGTTACTTGAGATAAAAAACTTAATTAGCATAAAATTTAAAGTTACCTAATATTAGCAATATCCTAGGATGTCACCATCCCACTAATAAATGAACAAATGAGCAAGTGTACCGTACAAAATTTAATAATACCAATCCATGTAATACAATAGTTATCCCATGAAAAAAAATGAGGTTCATTTCATTCATTTTTTTTAAAGTTTTATACTCCATAGTAATAACACTTGACATTTAAGATGTAATTTTTTTTTATTACAAGGGTATTTAAATTTGTGTCGACTACTCTTTGGAGTTCAACGATTGACCACTGCAACTTGAGCTGAGTTAAAACATGTCTCTTAAGCGTGCTAGCTCTCGAGGCTGTGAGAAGAAATTAAATTTGAGATCTCTAGATTACAAAAAACCAAACCCAACCATTAAATCATCCCTAATAGTTGTTTCTAATGTGATTTAACTATGAGATTCAATATCCATTCCTAATTAAGAAAGCTGCCAAAAGATTTTCTTATCCATTTCATGAGGAAGATTATAGTATCAATTTCGGTACTCTATTTAAATTTATAAATTTTTCAGATCAAATTGTACCTTTTTGGGTAAAAAATTATAACCGGAAAAATGACCAAAGTTACAACTCTGAAATGCAAAGTTATTTTTTTTTAGGTTAAGTTGCACATTTTGAAGGTAAAGTTACAACTAATTAGAAATTTTCAAAATTAATCATGAAGTTACTTCAAACAATTATAACTTTAACTTAAAAAAATATAATTTAACCTATAAAAATAGTATTTTTTGGTAATATACCGATTTGTTTTTAGTACCATTGAATTACCCCTATTTCATCTGCACTGTTGGATAACCTTTGGGTGTGTGTGAGTTATAAGGACCTATGACACTTCTATTTTTTAAGTAGAAGTGTTGTAATGTTCTCTACACCGTAGTGACTGTTCTATGGCTCGGTTCCGGCACCTTTTCATTAATGGAACCTGTGAGTCCAACTTTAATGGAGTAAACCTCCATAGTAGTTGTAAACAAGTTTTTGCGATTAATGAGACAGTTAGCAGTAAACAACAGAAGCCATCATGATTGAGTTAGATACTTTTTAAAAATATAAAAATGCACTGAAGTCAATTCTAAATGATTTTTATTAATTAATATTTTGCAAAAAAATGTTATCGTTGGTATATATTAGATTTACCAAATTTCGGTATGGTGGGTTTCATAAGCTTTTAAGTATTAAATAGGACGTAATTAAATAAATTATTGTCCTATTTCTATTAATTGTGAGAAAAATAATAATAATTTGTTGAAATATTAGTCCCCACCCTGACACAATTTTTTGGCTCCACCCCTGGTTAGACCTAATGGTTTTAAATGAATCGAATAGAAAACTAGCATTGACTCACGAGATCCATAACAATAATTCTTAACAGAGATATGCATCAAAAATCTTCATGAGAAGAAAATTAAGAATACCGATTATAATCATGAACTTGATTCCTAATAGATTGTAAATAGATTTTTCGAGAGAGTGAGAGATACTGTAAGTATGAATAAGAGATGAGGTCACTCAAGTAATTTATATTCCAACCAACTGCATCACGTTAAAATAATCAATAATCGTTCCCTCCCATCAAGGTGCCTAGAACGCCACTTTCAGAAGAAAATTATCCACTAGCGTAACCAACATTTGTTAGGTCTTTAATTAGGATATCCTTATCCCAAAACTCAAGTCTACATTTTATTAATTAAGGTTCACGTGTGGATCCCATTAAATAGATTACAACATAAACTGTTTCGAATTATAATAGTTAGTTCAAAGTTCAAGTGAATAGTCAGTGAAATTTTAGACACTCTCTAACCAAAAAAAAAAAAAAATTATAAATACCCATTTGATGTTAAGAAGGAACTTGAATTTTTTTTGCACAGATGAGTAGTTCACTTTGTCTTTTTTTTATCCCCGGTAAGCTAACGCAGTGTACTCGAGAGAGGATGACACAAATAAATCACAAAGACATTGGGGAAAACCGACCGAAACG